AAATGATGTAGTTTTATTACTACACAAGTTCTGTAACTGAATGTAGATTTATTTGAAAGGATAGGCTTTCTAGCTTGAATTTCTGTGAAAATTTTGATTGATTTAGATGTAATCAGGCGTCGGTACATAGAGTAAATTGCCTACATTCTAGCCTTTATTCTTCCCCGGAGGTAGACGGACCTACCCTATTGTCAATCAAAACAAAATTTTGCAACGGAATGCCGGTCATGAGGCACTGGGATTGTACTTAGAAACTTCAAAAAAAATGCCTAACATGAAACAGAAGTCCCAATGTGGCTATCAAAATTATTTATTGGACAGCACCCCATTTATTTACTATGATTTTCAATGCGTTTCAAAGGGGCAAATAACTGGGTCCCCGTTTTTGTTAGAGGGCATATTTTGAACACTTCAATCTGCAATTGTAAGCTTATTGTTGGAGTTACATGGATGAAATTTGGCCAGAAACTTGAAAATTCAATACGAAAAACAATGGTGTAATTATTTTTAAAATTTGAATTAAACTTTTTAAATTAAATTGAAATTTAAATTTATGAAATATTTAAAAAAATTGTTTTTTAATTTAAAGTTTCAAAAGGGGTCACAGTAAGGTCATTTTGATGGTATTATGTATTCATACACTTGTAAGTTAAAGTGGAGGGATTTTTCGAAAAATATCAGCAGAGAATATTAGAAAAGAGACACCTGTTTAGAAATAACAAATGTCTAATATGGGATCAGGGGACAACAAAAGATGGAAAATATGGGCTTATTTCTTTCCAGTATCCTATTTCTGGGACCTGGGAAAAGAAAAAAGTCCAGAGATTCAGTTTTATGGTTTTTAATTAGTTTTTGATAAGTTTTATATATTAAATAAAACACTTTATGCCATTTTATGTGTCATAAAAGTTTGTGTGGGAATGCGGCTCACATTACTGAAGAGCCGCATCACATAAATAACGACAGAATATTGTGTAAACTCAGAAAATCTTGCCAGGGGCTCTCCAATTTTCCAGATTGGGGCCTGGATTTTTTGAAAGATATATAAGGGGTAGGGCTATAGCTTATATTAACAATTTTAACTGAATGTACAACAATTTTAGACTCCTTTTTAAAGATTTTGGTGGTCCTTTAAAGGACCGTTAATTTTGTCTGTATCTTTTTCAGCAGTAGATTTATGCAGCTATATCTTCCTTGATTTAAGAACTTATGAAGAACAGCTTCTGGTAGGTATATTCTTCTTAGCAGATATTACTCTACCATATGAATGATCGTTCTTAATGCTTTTACAAATGCAGCATCAAGTTTTGGATCAGGTTGCCCTTTTTATATCTATCTGTACATTTACTTCGATCCTTCATTTCCACATGAACCTTAGTCTTCTGTCCAGTGCGTTGTAAATTTTTTTTTTCCTTTCTGGAGTATTTTGGTTTACTTTGTTCCGTTCACACTCCCTTTACATCTGGTCGAAGTGTTTTAATGAACCTTTTGAGATATTAAAACCAATACATTCTGCTTTTTGTCACAAGGAATAAGCTATACCATTTTTCAAAGTGTAAATTATTGCTGATGCCCTCCCTTCAAATTTCTTGAAAAGTTCACAGTCTTTGGTAAGGAAACACTTAGTGCTCTGTTAACAGCTTCACCTGTTTGAGCGTTCTGATTAAATTTCAATTTCATTAATGCTTCTTCGCTAAGTTTCATTTTTAAAAGATCTGAAATTATTAACTTGTCTTTGTTATATATATTCAGGTTGGTTAACTTGTTTGGACCCAAGTACATGGATCTCAGCCACCAACAGTTTGAGTGTTCACCACCACACACGTATGAACTAGTGGGACATTTAGAGCAGTCACAAGTATAACAACGCACAGCAGCATTAAGCATTCAGGCAGATCCAGGATTTCCCTCGACATTTGTTAAACTGTAGGAGGTGCCGTCTTGACTGGTTTTAGCTACAAGTGAGAACTTCTCTGCATCTAGCCTCTTCCATTGTATATTAAATGAACTTAGCTGACTGTTTGAAGACAAAGTCTCATGATTTATACCCTTGTTATGGGGTATGCTTCTTTGCATATGTAATTCTTATAAGATTTTTTTTTTAATTAAAAAAATAATTATAATTATTTTTTTTTTTCAGCAAACATTTTTTTATCTAGATTTCCATACAAATAATGAATTTATTTACCATGTGTAATTTACAGAATGTAAATATCTTTTGAAATAAAAAAAGTTTTGCTGATTTTAAGCATATTTTCTTCATGAATTTATGATTTTATACGATCAATTTTCTGGTATTTGAGATGTCATAGATAAGGATCAATAACTCTGTAACTGTTTGATCAAATCTATTGAAACTTTGCACAATAACTACTGAGATATATATCTTTATTTCAAAAGTGCAGTTTTAAGTCTGAAAACAAAATTAAAGTCTGACAGGAATAGGATCCCAGTTACGGAAACCAGTCCGGTACCCACGAATGTAGTTCTTAAAAAAATATATAACTATTATTTAAAATGGTGTAGTTTTATTATTACACAAGTTCTGTAACTGAATGTAGTTTTATTTGAAAAGGTAGGCTTTCAAGCTTGAATTTCTGTAAAACTTTTGATTGATTTAAATGTAATCAGGCGTCGGTACATAGAGTAAATTGCCTTAATTCTAGCCTTTATTCTTCCCCGGAAGTAGACGGACCTACCCTGTTGTCAATCAAAACAAAATTTTGCAACGAAATGCCGGTCATGAGGCACTGAGATTGTACTTAGAAACTTCGAAACAAATGCCTAACATGAAACAGAAGTCCCAAGCTGGCTATCAAAATTATTTATTGGACAGCACCCCATTTATTTACTATGATTTTCAATGCGTTTCAATAGGGCAAATAACTGGGTCCCCGTTCTACATAAACGTCTACTGTTATCATATAATCGATTCTTTAAAGATAAATTTTGACAAATTTACGCATCTCGGTCTATTTGAGCATTTTAACTTTTTGAAAGAGGGACGAAAGATACCAGAGGGACAGTCAAACTCATAGATCGAAAACAAACTGACAACGCCATGGCCAAAAAAAAAAAAGACAAACAGACAAATAATAGAACAGATTACTAAACAAAGAAAACTAAAGACTAAGCAACACGAACCCCACCAAAAACTGGGGGTGATCTCAGGTGCTCCGGAAGGGTAAGCAGATCCTGCTCCACATGTGGCACCCGTCGCGATGCTTGTTATTACAAATCCGGTAAATAGTCTAATTCGGTAGGTCACATTCGTGAAAAGGGAAGGGTATTGTAGTTACGACATAAGGAACATATCCGATATCATCTGTGAAACGGTTATTCCATAACGGTCAACCAACTCGTGATGGCGTCCGTAAAATTCACGATGGGATGATTTCAACTTCACCATTTGAAACTCTTGGTTTAATAAATTCCTTGTGAGCAGCAATCCTCTATCAAGGAAATCATGATAGGAAATACAAGCCCGGGAATATAGTATCAATTGGGAGATATATACTCCGTATGAAGGCGCTGCTGGAATGTTGCTACATAGAAATGGAAAGTTCACAATTTGGAAGCTGAAATCATCTCTTTTGTGTAAAGAGTGTAGAAACATATATGGTAATAAATACATAGGAATACCCTTTAAGTTAAATATTAAACTATCATTGAGTTTGAGTTTTTTTTCCTCTTCATCCAAGTAAATCTTTTACAAAATCTTATTCATAAACAATGATAAAATGTTTGACAAAGTTCCTGACGGTTTGTTATTATCCAATATTCTAAATCTTTATTTCACAGACGTGGTTATCACTCCGCACCAAGGTGACTTTTCCCATATTCGTAGTTGATTTCTGAAAAGAGAGTATACATAAAACACATTTCATAATTTGTCTTTCAACTGATATGACTAGAAGCTCTAATAATGCACTATAGATAAATACGTGGGATTCTCTGACTATATTTTTAGCAATCATATATCTTTATCGTTCTGAATTTGTTCAAGTTAGCTTATTATTAACACAGTATATTCTGACAGAAGATTCATAATCTAAGTTGATTAAATATTTCTATTGATTTTTTTTTTAATTTTACAACAAGGAAATTAAACACGGACGATACTTTCGGAAATTATATTCGCTTTTTAATTTAATTCATATTTCAACAATGTCAGGTGGCTTTCAGTTTCAAAACATCAATTATGTTACGTTTATACTCTTATAAGTCTAAAGGGTGTTTGGAATTTTAATTAAGAGAAAAGTTAACATATATTGAAGGTGAGTGAAAGCATATAAAATTTCAAAATAAGAACAGGATAACTTTTCCATTCTTGGAGGATAATAAATATTAATGAGATAAAAAGACTATAACTCTTTAAATACCATTTCATAAATACCGATATTATTAAAACATTAATTTGTGTTGAAAATTGTTAGCTTGTATTTGTATGAACTATGATATTAGCAAAATAATTGGATAACATTGGTATCATTATGGTTTAATAACAGGTTTAACTCAGGATCAATTCAATATTTCGCATGAAATTTAATGAATTTGTTCATTGCAATTAGATACATTGATTGATTGATTGATTTTTGCTTTTCACAGCATAAGCACAAAAAGAGTTCATCGAGATTTTCGTTATTGAACATCACCCATGTTAATTTGCATTCTTTTGAGTAATCGGTAAAATATTGTTCACCTATCGTAGACTAAAGACTAAACACTAATTCACCATTTTTCAGGATGCTGAGATTCAAACAACGCAGTACTCATGCTTAATATAAACCCAACAAATAAATGTAAGTTAAGATAGTCATTCAAGAAATAGAAATAAGCATTGATGATCAAATTTTGCCACTCTCATCTCCCTTTTGTGCTGAATGATTTAGTTTAGTTTTTATTTATTTTAACGTTTGGTAAACTTCACTTATTCCAAAACTATTGCTATTGTGAGATCAATCTTTTTTTTTCAATTTTCCATTTTTAGAAACAAAACGGTCATTGCAAGGATGTCAAAAGCGCAACAGAACGTGTATGTTAACAATATCTTCGATGCAGGGAAAACAGAAGCGGACAATAATTTAGAATATGAAGAATGTCTTGCTCCTGTTGACAAATCCATTTATGATGAACTATCCTCAACGCAAGAGAAAGGAACCCCAAGTAATGACTCTGTCATTATGAACTCAATGCCAAGTGTTCAGTCTGAACAATCAGACAATTCAATTCATCAAAAGAAATTAGCTCTATTTAGGCCAATGTTTCTTATACTATTTTGCATTCTGATTACAGCGTTAGTTACATCTATTGCCACTTTCTTTGCAACAAAAAAAAAATCTCAGATAAGAAGACCATTCGTAAGTAATTTATATATATATATATATATATATATATATATATATATATATATATATATATATATATATATATATATATATATATATATATATATATATTGTATCTACGTAAACTACCTTGTGTTTTGAATAATTCATCATTTTATAAATTGTAAATTTACAGAAAATTAACGCATCAAATATATGGAAGGTCGACACAGAATTGCTGACTACTGGATGTTCATATATAATAGACAAAAATAGAAGTGAATACGGTCCTATATCATCATCGGACAGAAATAGATAATAAAACTTTATGAAATACAATGTGAGAAAACCAGAGAGTTGCAAAATTTAAAAATTCAATCAATTGAGAATTTCTTATTAATAACTCTTGTATTTTACAAAATTTACCTTAGATGAATTCGGCCATTATGTTTAGGTCTATGTAATGCTGTGTCGTATTTACTCATCCTTGGCTTTGTTTGGGTTTGGGTTTGAGCGTTCCAGATGAAGGTAACTCTAAAAAATGCTTTGGACGTGTGGAATTAAAAAATGGTTTATTTCATTTACTTGCACTGGGTCTTCTGCTGGAAATCATCAGTCAGTGTTTAATTAATGACATGTTTTCTATCATATACTTATTTAAAAATTTTCATTCATAAATTAAGAAATTACTTAGAAACAAAAGTTCCAATTCCCGCAGGCAAATGTGATCTATATGAATTTGGCTATTCTGTTACGATAATTAAGAGATAACTGTATTGTATTTGAAGCTTTGCGGACGTCCATCGGTAGTTTTACTGTCGCAAATTTAGTTTACCTGGCGACGCGTAGCGGAGACAGGTAAACGGGTATTTGCGACAGTTAAACTACCGATGGACGTCCGCAAAGCTTCAAATACAATACAGTTATCTCTATTCTAATGCAAAACAAGTACATAATTCAATTTCAATCATTATTTCAGTGTCAAATTCTCATTAAAGAAAATTCCGCGATAAAATGTTATCTTCTTTTGCCCCAAAACTAGGTGACATCATAGGTATGCTTCCGGTGTCAAACGTAAACACCGGGCGTTTTCTGGCTTCTTGGCCGCTTCAGAATGTAATACAATTTTATAAAAAGAAGATTTCTAGGTGCAACATGTGAGTTTTTTTTGCTTATTGTTGTACAAATTACATGTCAATACATTCCGCAATTCAAAATGTCGGCTTCCTTAGTTAAAGACAAGGAGATAGAGAATTTAACTCTTACTGTCATCCAATCAGAACCATTGATACAAAATAATTGCATTAGAATTGTATTTGTTCTTAGTTGCAAAGCATTGATGCATCCTTTGCTTTCAAATGTTTAGGTTTAAGCGTTCCTGATAAAGGTAAATTAAGGCGACCATAGTTTATCGATGTTCAAATCACGTAAATCGATTACGAGACGAGGAGTAATATAACAAAAAGAAACTAAGGGAATTGTATTGACTCCAAGTGGAGCAAAACTAAGTGCGTCGACAGGGTGACATTCTCATGGCATGCGTTTAAGACTCATGAAATTTATAAAGTGTTTATCTTATTTCCAAAAATATCAAATTTTCGATAAATTTTTTCATTCTTCTTTTTTAATACAGATGCAACAGAATGCAGTAGTACATGTGGCGATGATACAGAACGCAGACTCCAACAACAAATAAATAAGACAGTGATTTGTAGAAACAATGAAACAATTGACAGCTATTCTTGTTCTAGAGAATTCTGTCCTGGTATGTTTTTATCACTGAAATGTAGTTCCCATATTAACCTTTACGAGATGCCTTACCCAACCTACTGATAAGTTGTCGAAATGTTTTGTACTGTTGAACTTTCATAAAATATAAACCTAAATATTTTCTTACTTTTTTTATGAAATTCGCCCTAATAACAAAAGATCTAAAAGTCACCTTCAAATTAAAATTGAAATTCTTGCGAACATGAAAGAAGATTTACCCGCAAATTGTTATTGTCGTGTATTTTAACCTACATGTTTTAAGTTTATATTTTAATTAAAATTTTCAGTATTTCTTTATATCAATATAGGCAATAAACGAAACTTATTTTGAATCTATCAACATTCGAAACATAAAAACAAAATCTGCACTTTGCAGCTTTTTATTCTGATTCAGATGTCTGTTTGTTTTGATATGTGAAGTGAATTCATAACACGTAACAATGGCGGTTTTCGTCTCGCGTGCTAAAGCCTTTTCGGACTGCTTGATATTCATAGTATATTTCAAAAGATTACCACAGACCACTTAAGTGACAATCAGACTTTGAATGACAAAACAGCTCGGCTGAGATGCTCTCAATAAGGGAAAAAATATTACCATACGTATGGTACAGAAAACATTACAGAATAGACAGATAAATAGATTTTTGTTCCCCTAACAGATAAATAATCGAGAAAAATTCCGTCTCAGAAAATACTATTTTAGTCTCTAATGCATGATGTTTTATTATAAATTGTTTTCGGCTTTTAACTAGCTTTCAGTAACTGCGAGAACTCTCAAATCGTACTTTCATGTTAATTTGACCTGTTGACACAACTTGTAATGCATTTTTGTTATTCAACGTTTACTTATTTTGTGTTATATCTCGTCTCACTATTTTTAATATGTACCACCTTTGATACGTATTTAGTATGACGAAAAATGTTCACTTCTGTACTCGTACTGTGAACAACAAATTTATTTATTTTGTAAAACATATTTTCGTACTCCTAACAACAAAATTGTTATATTTAAATTTACCTGTGTACGTTATTTTATTTGACGCCATTTTGTCCCAGGTAAGGGTTGTCTTTTTGACATTGTTTAACTCTTTTAAAGTATTATTGTATTTATATTTTGTCATAGATCAAATTTTTTCGTTCAGTGTATGTTTATTTGTTTTTGTTGTTATATCTTTTTGATCGAGTTAAGCCATATTAATTGATATTTTATAGCGTGTCTTTTTACGTTTTAATGTTACACGACTATTTCTGGTTAGGATGAAGGTTGGCGCCTGTTAAAACGTTTAAACCCGCTACATTTGTATGCACCCGTCCTAAGTCAGGAGCCTGTTCAATGGTTTTCGTTTGTTGCTGTGGTTTATAAGTGTTTCTCGTTTCTCGTTTTTATATAGATTAGACCGTTGGTTTTCCTGTTTGAATTGTTTTACATTATTAAAATTGAGGCCATTTGTAGCTTGCTGTTCGGTATGAGACAAGGCTCCGTGTTGAAGGCCGTACTTTGATCTATAATTGTTTAATTTTTACACATTGTGGCTTGGATGGAGAGTTGACTCATTGGCACTCATACCACATCTTCTTATATCTAAGATAATCTATTCCTTGAGTAGAAAATCCTTAGTATTTCGAACTATTTTTTTTAAAATGAGGTCCAGGACGTTAGTTAGACCTTCCTGTTGTATTGTTCCAACTTCAAGATGATTAATAAACCAGTCTAGTAAAATTCAAATGCAGAGCAGATATTTAACTCTGATTCACCTATATTTCAGGTAATGGTGTACATTTAGGCGTGCGCTTCAGTCGAACAGAATTTTACTACTTATACTATATGTCAGATGATAATACAACCTTAAGTAATTTGAATACAGATGAAACCTCTCGGAGTGCCTCGGCACGATTATCGACTTACAGAGGGACGATTTCTGACTCATGTGTAGGTGACGATGATTTGATTTATTATGAAGTAAACTATATATATTCCATACGTACTAAATTGACCTTTTTTGAAACAAAGTATATATTGGACGTTGGCATTGCTGAACGTTCTAATGTAGATAAATATATAGATGCTGGCGGTACAGCAAGTGGATGGTCATTCAACATGTTTTATAGAGGAGAATGGTTTTCTAAAAATAGACAAATTGTATACATAAATGCTAGACATAACGGAAATATCACAACAAGTCAAAGACTATTAACAACTTATGAAGGTGAAGAATTACACGGACAACTAAAAATTTTGATTAACACCCGTAGAAAAGAGTTTACTGTTAATCATGACGATTTGAAAGTTTATGTTTTTGACGAGGTAAAATCAAACGAAACCTTTTGTCCGGTATTTGGAGTGTACAATACTAACTATGATAACGTTCAACTAAAGATACTGAATTCTCTTTTTTTTTTATGTATCCTTGGAGATCACGGGTATAATCTTTTTAAATTTGTAATCTTTTGTCCGCGCCGAAACTGACATTTTCTTAAAATAAACCAACAACAACAAACAAACAAAAAACTAGCTTTGTCTGTCAGTGTGTTTTCATTTGATGTGTAATAACTTAAGTTTGCTTGTAATTTTCAAAATTGTTATATGCAATGTTTGGAATATACAAACTTTTTTTTTGAATCACCATGGTTGAAGTTCAGAAGAAAAGTATTTGTTGATACTTGCTATTCATATATTTGGATAGATCAGCTGTTTCCTAACTCAGGTTGGCTAATTTCTTCGGTAAAATGCACCTACATGATCAATTTAGATAGGAATGGCATTCACTTATGTTCTCCAACATCTATAAATTATAGATTATGGAAAGAAAGATATGAATTTAAAAACTTGTAAAATATATTGGAAGATAAAGATTTGTATACGCTTTGTGAGTTCAGAACCACATATCATAAAGTACTTATAGAAACAAGACGATGAAATGATATAGAAAAGGAACACAGAATAAGTTTGAAATATAATGATAACTATATTGGTGATGATTATCATTATATTCTGGAATATAAAACATTTGTAATTGACAGGAAAAAACAAATAGATACAAATGTGTCTAAAACACCAAATATTTTGAAATTCAAAAAAATCATGAGTTGTACAGACGAGTATTATTAGAAAAACTATGTATATTTATTCGAAAAATGAATAACTCATTTGTTCTGTAGGTAATAACATAACTTCCCATCCTTATATAAATTGTACATAACGATATATATGTATGTAGGTATTTGAAGATAATTTTTGTATGCTTGTGTGTATGTTTGTGTGTCTGATTTATTTTAATTAAGTTTGGTTTCATACCTATATGTATGTATATATCTGTACCATTGTAACTTATGGATTATGAGAGTAAAGATTATTATTATTTTTACACACTTGTTTGAGAAACTTTAAGAAAGCTCACACTTTTGAGTTTGAAGATTTTCAAATATATTCTTCAACATTTACAATATCTGTCATTGCTTCATAAACAAGATTTTTTTTAGGAAAATCTTGTCCAAAGGAAAATATTAAATGTTTATTTCAAATTGTGTTTATTTTTCCGTTTATACATTTTTCCTATTTAAATCTTTTCGATTTCCGTTTTTATCACACCCCCACCTAATATAAGTATTATCTTTGCATAATCACGCCAGTTTGACAGGATACAGAGTTGTTCAAAGCAATACATAATGGCGATAAAACTATTTAACATTTAAACAGTTTCTTTTGAGGACAATTGTAATTTGTTTTAGTTTTTAATATTAACAATTGCTTTTTCTCCTTTTCTTTAACACATTCAAAGCTGATTGAATAATCAGGTTTTTTGCCATGCACCGCTACATTTTATAAGCACGAAGTCTCTTAGAATTTACACACAACTAGTTAAGAGCAGTGAATTTTTACTACATTCAAACTTATCTAATAGAATAGTCAATGTTTGTTTTTTGTACTCTTTATATTTAAGATGTCATCTCATGCATATGTGTTCCATTAATTTTTGTTTTTAAGAAATAATGATCAGAGTGTTCATAAAAGTAAAGATAACTTGAATAAACTATAGACATATACTTACTTTTCAAGGATGTTGCATTAGCAATCTGAGAAACATATCAGAACGAAGTCAATTAATTGATTTATTTATTTTAATTAGATTGCTTTATGGGATACCATTATTTTGATTTGTAGACATAATAATGTCGAAGCGTTCAAAATTATGTTTTGTTTTGTCAAAACAATGTTACACTTATGACTGCGAAAGACAACCTTAAAAACAAACTGAAAACTGCATTGAAAGGAATGTTGATAGCCACATGTCGCGCGTTAACATAGGCATACTTGTCAAAATTACACATCAACACTATTGGAGACAGAGCACGTTTTAGATTTGAAGTACTGTAAGCCAACTTAATTTCGCGCATACATTGTTTCGCGAAATTTCTTTCTAGTAAACTTTGCGGCGATTTATTGTCGCGATCTTCTGATTCTATTTATACATTTATATAAGGGAAGATCCACATTTTAAATTCGTGCCGATTAAAATTCGCGTTAATTTTTTACTCGCGAAAGTCGCAAAAATAAGTTGGTTTATATTAAATACATTTAAGGCCTATGGATGTATTATTTTTAAGTTGACGTTTTCCTTTGCGATAAGTTTAAACACAGTTTTGTATCAAGTCTATGCGTTTACCGTATATTTTTTTTGCAATTAGTGCCCCTCCTTAAATCCGATTCTACAAGTGGCTTTGGTCTTGTCCTCTCCTAGTTCATATCATTATGACCTCTTGAATAGCTATTTCTACGTTTTGTTGTGACGCCATTCTACATCGTACGTCGTAATCATTTGGATTAATCTCCCTCATCTCTCTTCACCTGCTATCACGTTTCTACCCCTTATCCATGTTATCCTTATCCCTAACAATTTTCCCACTTTCTCCCTTTTGAAATGGACTTATAACTTTTGCTACATTTATTTTATGAATTTTGATTATGTCTGTCGTTAATTTTATAATATGTTAACACGATATTAGTATTGAATTTATGTATTTTAGAAAGTTGATGAACAAGGGTTATGTCAAAGACCGTCTTGTCCTTTTTTTTTAAGTTCATCGGGAGATAACAAGACTTAATTTCGTTCTATGTGTTCTTTTTATTTGTCTTAGTATTTTCAAACCTTTACTATTTAGTCAATATTTTGGTAATATACTTTTGGCGTGGCTCGGTTTCAATACATCTCGCCATTGTGTTATTGTGTTATGGTAATTTTTGTATTCTTGTCTTTCAATTTTGCTTATGTTCTTTGTCTATAGAATGTCAATATGCCATTTTGTTTTCCTTTGTCTCAATAGTTATTTGTGTTTATAGTTAATAAGATTACAACACTATGTTGACTGCTGTACCCCAATTCGTGATATTTCACCAATTATGTCTGTTTGTTTTGCCTACACATTGTTGTCAATATAATGGAGTTATATGCGCCTGTCATTCAAGGGAGATGTTGACTAGCTATAAAGCTAGGTTAATGCACCATTTTCTCCACAAGAAAATGCCTGTATTAAGTAAGGAATATGACAGTTGATTTCCATTCGTTTGATGTGATTGAGCATTTGATTTTGACATTTGATTCATGACTTTCCGTTCTGAATTTTTCATGGAGTTTGGTATTTTTATTATCTTAAGTTTTCCCATAGTATCTATTGTGTTAGGATATATTTGACTTCTCGAGTTGTAATATTGTCATAATTTATATCAATGTTTTACCTAATTGACTTGGATGGCACTAAACTTGTTGCATTTGTATGCACCTGTCCTAAGTCAGGAGCATGTTGTTCAGTGGTTGTAGTTTGGTAGTGTGGTTCATAAGTGTTTTTCGTATTTTATATAGATAAGGCCGTTGATTTTTCCTGTACTAGTCATTTTTGGGCCCTTTATAGCTTGCTGTTTGGTCTTAGCCAAGGCTCCTTGTTGAAGGCCCTACAGTGACCTATAATTGTTTACTTTTTATACATTGTGACTTGGACGGAGAGTTGTCTCATTGGCACTCATACCACATCTTCTTATTTATATTTGTTTTAAGTAAACTGATTTTTATAGTACGTTCTTATCTTGTGCTGTTACACCACTGCCCCAGGTTAGGGCAGGGTTGGCGCGCCTTCAAACTAGTTTAACCCCGCCACATTCTGTATGTGCCTATCCCAAGTCAGGAGCCTGGAATTCAGTGGTTGTCGTGTGTTGCTGTATATCATATTTGTTTTTGGTTCATTACTTTGTACATTTAAAATGAGGCCGTTCGTTTTCTCGATTGAATTATTTTACATTTGTCATTTATGAAACGACACTCACCCAACAGTATAAATATAAAACCGAAAGTGATCCAGAAATTAACATACTAAATGTATATATTTCTTGGCTTTCGCTATATAGATGATGTTCTCTCACTTAATAATTCAAAATTTGGTGACTACGTTGAACGCATCAATCCAATCGAATTTGATATAAAGGAAACGACAGATACAGTTGAGTATACCTCATATCTTGACTTACATCTAGAAAATAACAAGGAGGGTCGGTTGAAAACAAAAACTTTTCGACAAAAGAGATGATTTCAGCTTCCTAATTGTGAACTTTCCATTTTTATGAAGCAACATTTCAGCAGCGCCTGCATACGGAGTATATACATATCTCCCAGTTGATACAATAGCCAGTTTATTTTCGACTATGAGTTTGAAAGCTCCTTTGGTATCATTATATCGTAAAAAATGACGTCGCCTTAAATCAAATAGGTTTGAATCGAGCATATTTGAAACTCATGCATATCCAGTGGCATGTTTCAGAAAAAAAACATGTCAAAACCTTTATTTCACATTTGTGCATAATAATGGATACGATGGGTACATTATTTCTATCTATCTGTGATAAGTTAAGACTAACATTGAGATCATCCAAAATTCCTGACGACAACAACATAGCTCTGCTACTCTATATCATTATAGGAAATGTATCAATCAAACGAAAGTCTTTTGTACGGACTATAAATAACTGTCATACAAGTAGGAGGTTTAGCTAACTATAGAACCAGGTTTAACCAACCATTTATGGAAAATGCCTGTAAGAAATCAAGAATATATATGACAATTGTTTTCTACTCGTTCCGTTGGTTTATAGCGTTTGATTTTGTCAGTTTTTATGGACTTCCATTTTTTTAATTCACCTTGGAGTTTGACTTTTGTTATATTGTTTTGTTAGAATGTTCCCATGAAATTACAACATTTTCATATTGATTTTGAATTTCATATATTCATATATTTCTTATGTTTCTGACCAACATACATACAACATACTCCATCGTATTTTGTGTATGTACCAAGTCGTGCTTTCTGGACCATTTGTTGTTCATTGCTGTTTGTCTTTGTAAGTACGTCTGGTTTATCTCGAAGGAGTCGATTGTTTATGGTTTATGTGGTCGGTTGTACTGTGCGGTATTTTGTTGGTTCCCCGTTATCCCTCTTTATAAATTTTGTAACTTTACCCAAGCTTGGACTGAACATCAGCCAAACTATCTAAACAGCAAAAATACCATCCTTTCCCGTAGAAACTCGACATACAATAGTCGGAATCAAGATGATCAGGTCAAGTTAACAATATTTTAACAAAGCTTTCAAACCCATTCATTTACAAATCAATGGGAAAATATAAAAAAAGGAGATATGGTATGATTGCTAATGCGACATCTATCCAACAAAGTTCAAGTAAGGTGGATGTTATCAATTATAGGCAACCGTAAGAGATTCAACAATGATAACAATGCATACCGTTTAGTCGGCTATAAAAGGCCCCGACATGAAAAAATTCAATTGAAAAAACTAACGGCCTAATCAATAACAAAACAATTAACGAAAAAACATTTGACAGACATGAACGACAGGCTTCTGACTCGGGACAGGCACATACAGAATTTTGATAAACATGTTTGAAGGCGCCAACCCTTCCCTAACTTGGGACCATGGTTCAACATAAGAACAAACTATAAAAATCATTTGAAAAGGGAAAGACTCATCAGATCAATACAAAGCAGAAAAACAAATAACAAAAACGCAGACCGGACGCGGCAGGGTATTTATACATCCCTCACAACAAAAAAGACACAGAGTACAGATTTTACAGTAATCGAAGTTACTGACAGCTAGTTCAAAGCCAATAACAACTAATAAGTAAATCATTTATGTAAGACTAAATTATCAATCAGTGCACATCTAACATCCAATAGATTTAGTGTAAAGATGCCATTAACAGTCAGAGAAAAATATGACCTTTGCACAATGGGTGTTCTTTATTTCAATATTTCATTAAACTTCATTGTGTCTTATCCAGCCTTGGTCGACTGAACTTTAT